TAAGTACTTAATTCGTTCTGGAGGTCTGTTCTTAACCTGAAACTGTTCTTAACCTGAAGCACCACTTTAGCTAATGGGGCCTCCTGCTGCTGCCGCGCCACCGGAGCCCGATTTCTGTTCTTATCCTGAAGCAAAGTTCTTAAGAGAGAGCTATTGTGGTGTAGTGGTTAAGAGCGGTAGTCTCGTAATCTGGGGAACCGGGTTCGCGTCTCCGCTCTTCCACATGCAGCTGCTGGGTGACCTTGGGCCAGTCACACTTCTTTGAAGTCTCTCAGCCCCACTCACCTCACAGAGTGTTTGTTGTGTGGGAGGAAGGGAAAGGAGAATGTTAGCCGCTTTGAGATTCCTGAAGGGGAGTGAAAGGCGGGATATCAAATCCAAACTCTTCTTCTTCTTAACCTGAAGCACTATTTCTGGGTTAGCGGAGTCTGTAACCTGAAGCGTATGTAACCCGAGGTACCACTGTACATATGTGCTTAAGATATACAGGTATGTGACTTGTGTTTTGCACTTGGGAATTGCAAAAGAATACAAAAAAGTTATGTTTTAAGGAGTTGTGAGGTAGATAGCTAGGCCCTACTCTGTTTCAGCCGAATGATCCCAGTTTCTGTCTGTGCTTCTCAGCGATAGCTGGATGAATAATCTGGTATCACTGAATTCTCTGTACCTCTCTTAGTTCTTTCTAACAGAACAGAGCAACCAAGTTACAACCCTGTTTTTGCTGAATATTGCCCATACAACTGGACTGGCTTTAGAAGCAAATGCTACTACTTTTCGGAAGAAGAAGGGGATTGGAACTCCAGCTACGATTTTTGCCTCTCAAACAATGCATCTCTTGCTAGGATTGAAGAGGATGAAAAGGTGAGGTGTGGAAACATTGTCTGTCCCAGTACGTTTCTGAGCACAATTCAAAGTGTTGGTGTTGACCTTTAAATGGCCCTAAATGGCCTCGGTCCAGTATACCTGAAGGAGCATCTCCACCTCCATCGTTCTATCAGACACAGAGGTCCAGCGCCGAGGGCCTTCTGGCGGTTCCCTCGCTGCGAGAAGCCAAGTTACAGGGAACCAGGCAAAGGGCCTTCTCGGTAGTGGCACCCACCCTGTGGAATGCCCTCCCATCAGATGTCAAGGAAATAAACAACTATCTGACTTTTAGAAGACATCTGAAGGCAGCCCTGTTTAGGGAAGCTTTTAATGTTTAATAGGTTATTGTATTTTCAAAGCCATGGTTTGTTCGAGAAACCACAAGTTAACCATGAGTTGTCCTATGGGTGGTCAAAGAAACCATGGCTTTGGCTCAACTGCTCTTGCCTCATGCCTTTGTAGCTTGGTTAGTGGTCAGACAAACCATGGTTAAACAAGGGTGCTGGGTTAGCACATAACACTAAGTGATTGTTAAAACAAACAAGCATTTGTAATTATTATTATTATTATTATTATTGTTATTATTATTTATACCCCGTCCATCCGGTCAGGTCTCCCCAGCCACTCCAAGCAGCTCCCAACAGAATATTAATAATAAGAAGTGCTTTTTTTCTTTAAAAAATGTTTAGGGGTACTCTCATTTTCCTACTCATATTGAAATACTGCCCCTCAATGAGGCCAAACTTAGATTCACAAAATGTTTAGAGGTATGCGTACCCCTGCCTTCCCCCAGAAAAAAGCACTGATAATAATAATAAAGCAATAGAACATCAAACATTAAAAATTTCCCTAAACAGGGCTGCCTTCAGATGTCTTCTAAAAGTCAGATAGTTGATTATTTCCTTGACATCGGATGGGAGGGCGTTCCACAGGGTGGGCGCTACCACCGAGAAGGCCCTCTGCCTGGTTCCCTGTAACCTGACAGTAGGCAGTGAGGAAACCGCCAGAAGACCCTCAGAGCTGGACCTCATTGTCTGGGCTGAACGATGGGGGTGGAGACACTCCTTCGGGAATACTGGGCTGAGGCTGTTTGGGGCTTTAAAGGTCAGCACCAATACTCTGAAGTGTGCTCAGAAACATACTGGGAGCCAATGTAGGTCTTTCAGGACCAGTGTTATATGGTCTTGGCGGCCACTCCCAGTCACCAGTCTAGCTGCCACATTCTGGATTAGTTGTAGCCTGCAACAAACCATAGCTTCAGATCAGTAAGTAAACCACATAATTCTAACCCATAGTTTAATAAACATTATTTTAATAAACCTCGGCTTATGTGAACCAGGCTATATTGTACTTTAATCATTAAGTTCAACCATTATGTAGTACAAAGGAGCTGATTTAAATACAGAAATAATTGTAGGGTCATAGCAGTAAACATTGAGCATATAAAATATTTTTTTGTTAAAAAGTATTTATTTAAAACAAACAAACACCCCACCCACAGTTGTATCCTGTGCTGGTAGCTGAACTGAGTTAAGAACTCCATCCAACACTCGCTGTTAATGAAACAAATGCAGGAAATAGAATGAGGATGTTAAAATGATGAAAAAATAATAATTATGTTTAAAAATGTTAGCGAATAGTTCTTTTAAATATGTTTTTAAATTTTTGTGTGTTATATTTGTTATAAACTTGGAAAACTAATTGAAAAATTGAAAAAAAAAGTTAGAGAATAAGAACAACTAATAAGCAGGATAAGATAATGTGTCAAAAAACCAGAATGGGAAGCTGAGGGAAGTCGTGGGGGGAGGGGGGAATTGGGGAACAATATTTTTGTTATATATTATATGATATTTGGATGTCAAAAAATGGTAAAATGTTAATAAAAATTATTTATATAAAAAAGAACTCCATCCAACAAGTTGCTCTTTCTTTTTTTAAAAAGAAACTGGTAAACATTTTGGATTTGTGTAATATTTTCAGTTGCACTGTGAACATGGCAGTTCAAGGCTCTGATACCTTCTGGTCTTTTAAAGGCTTATTGTAAACGTCATGACATGAAGAGGAGCTACTGGATTGGTGTCCAACCAGGGATGGGAGAGACCCGGAAATGGCTAAATGGAGACACAGCGAAGTGAGTCCATCCCATAAATACTGATAATCAAAAATGAAATGTTTCCCAAGACAGCTCCATATATAATTGTTAACGAAGGGCTTCTTCCCTAAGGAACGTAATTTTGAACAAAATCACAACTCCCCTGAAATGGGAGTTTAGAATGCAATTTATTTGAAATCCTGCAGGTGATGTGCTTCAGATCACAGCAGGTGCTACAATAAATATGTTCTACTTTCACTGTTGGGACGCGGGTGGCGCTGCGGGTTAAACCACAGAGCCTAGGACTTGCCAATCAGAAGGTCGGTGGTTCAAATCCCCGCGACAGGGTGAGCTCCCGTTGCTCGGTCCCTGCTCCTGCCAACCTAGTAGTTCAAAAGCACGTCAAAGTGCAAGTAGATAAATAGGTACTGCTCCGGCAGGAAGGTAAGCGGCGTTTCCGTGCGCTGCTCTGGTTCACCAGAAGCAGCTTAGTCATGCTGGCCACATGACCCGGAAGCTGTACACCGGCTCCCTTGGCCAATAAAGCGAGATGAGTGCCACAACCCCAGAGTCGGCCACAACTGGACCTAATGGTCAGGGGTCCCTTTACCTTTACTTTCACTGTCAGAGGCAACCAGTTGAGGGGAATTGCAAGTGGGCAGAGTGGTGCTGCACTCAGGTCTGGCTTGCAGGCTTCCCACTGTGAGAACAGGACGTTGGACTAGGTGGGCCATTGACCTGACCCAGGGGTAGGCAACCTAAGGCCCTGGGGCAGGATGCGGCCCAATCGCCTTCTCAACCCGGCCCATGAACGGTCCAGGAATCAGCGTGTTTTTACATGGGTAGAATGTGTCCTTTTATTTAAAATGCATCTCTTGGTTATTTGTGAGGCCTGCCTGGTGTTTTTACATGAGTAGAGTGTGTGCTTTTATTTAAAATGCATCTCTGAGTTATTTATGGGGCATAGGAATTTGTTCATTTCCCCCCTTCAAAATACAGTCCGGCCCACTACATGCTCTGAGGGACAGTGGACTGACCCATGGCTGAAAAAGGTTGCTGACCCCTGACCTGGACTGTATTTTGTAGAGTTAAGTTTTTACCTCTATCTTCAGTACATTTTATTTTGTGGCTGTGGCTGATGCAAATAAAGATACTTCTGATTCCGATTCTTTTTACAAGTCTCACAAAGCAGTGCCAGGCTTGCGGGGTGCTGCGAATACACCCCTCAAAGCAGGGCAGGGT